CCCCCCCCCCAATCATCGGTGAACAAAACTGTGGCAGCTACAACCAGTGTACGACCAGTACGCGGTTCTTACAGCTGACAATGATGATGATGATGATGATGAACTGCAGACAGAAGATGCGAACCAGGTTACTATTTCCATCAACGAATCATCAAAAAACTACTTCTAGTACAGGATACAAAGTATATGGGGTCAGTTTTTTCCCTGGCATCTTATTTCGAGCATCTTTTCAGAGCTGACTGACTGCGTTCAAACTAGTTGCCTGAAGATTGTAGGTTCGTAACTCTTTCGGGTTTCGTGAGTTGCGAATTGCTGATTTCAAGTAAGAATGGAAGATCTGCAAAGTGCTTCTCGACTTTCCAGCATGAATTGGCTTCACCTACGAACGAAATCTCAATTAAAAATGTGATACGCTGTTGCTCTAGATTTCTACACCTTTCGTCTGTTTTCACTGATAACATTATCCTCTTTCTCCGTGACTGGGCATCAGGATCTATTGTAAGGGTATTGTCGTCCAGAATGGCTTACCGTGTAAGCAATCGCTGGTTGATTTTAGCCTAAGCTGAATAGCAGCGTTTGTGGCACTGTTGACACGAGTTCATTAAAACTTATGCTCAATGGGTCAAACGAATTCCTTTCTGAAAGTCTGCTACGCTTTGAACAATGGCACATGCAACTGGTATGCAGATCGTTGTTCTATTAATAGCGATACACAAGGTGGCAGTTGCGACGGGGGCTTTTTTGTTTTGGACATGGATATTTCTTGCGAAACATCAGTACTGGCTCTGAAAATAGTCACCAGGAATAAGGTGTCATCATCGGAGTAGCACTAGTGGTAACTAACGTTCTTCAGTGCCGTTCGGAAATCATTCCCCCCCCCCCGTGAACATCCTGTTTGGTTTGTACCTGATGAAATATTTACATATTCCACTCTGGAACTCGGTGTCTCCAGCACGTGGTGTTCACCGCTCCTTCCACATAAAGAACTACAAAACGTGAAGCGGTCGCATCCTAGAGGAAATATCGTTGCTGATCATAACGTTCACATAACCTGGTTGCTGTTCACGTTCTGACACTCTGTGCACCGTCGGAAAAGTTTCAAGTCGCTCAGTAAGCAAATCAAGTCCGAATGAGGCTCGGATACGGAAGAGGATGTGTCCTAAGTTATCAAGCTGACAGTCGATTGTGCGTGACTGGCTGCCCTGGAGCTGACGGGCTATGCATGCTTGAGCTAAGTGTGCCTTAAAGTAACCTGTTCACATGCGGTGGCGGTGATCGCATGCGAGCACTTTAATATAAGTTGAACTGGACCAATAGGTCTATGGAAATGCCAGTGTAAGTCAACGTCCACTATATGACTTTGTCAAGCAGACTTTTATAATGGCTTGCTTGGCTTCGGTGACCAACTAAAATACTAACTTTACTCATCATAGGGCACTGTACCGGCCCAATGGATCACCACCAGGGACGACTGCGACATGAATAAGCTTACAAAGATTCAGTAAGAGATATTTTTTACCCACTTTGACGTACACTACACACACTGAACAGCGGATAAGACGTCTGAAGCCTATTATTCTTGCTTATTTTGCTGGACGATATTTAAAATAGGAAACAGTGGTAAGGAGACTGGGGGATGGATTAAACTCAGTGTTTCGTTTGTTGGATGAGAGCGAGTGTGGTCGAGGACCAGTGAACGATGAGCTGCAAGGGTGAATGGACTTCCCAGTTGTTCAGGCAGAAGATGAGGGTTTGGTTGAGGTACCTCACCTTGAACCTCTGACTCAAATATCTGACCCACCAGGCAGTAGGAGGATATAGGGTTTTGGTCGAGAACCCTTCCTTTAGTCTCTGTCTCAAGAGTATGAGTCGCCATTCAGCGGTTGTCAGGGTTTTCTTGAGGGACTCCTCCCGGAGCCAGTGACTTAATAGTCAGATCTGCTTGGCTGTAGAAGGTTGGCCTGGCCCGAAAACGCATGCAGTAAAGCATAACAATTCGACTTTTAATGCAGCGATGTACAGCAGGTACTTTCTGATCAGCACCAGACTCGTTAACGTTAAAAGTATTTCGACCGTGTTGAGTAATCCGCAGGCGGTCACGATCATTTGTTGGGTAATCGGAATATGCTTAATTCGTCCTTCCCCGGGGCAAGGAAGCATCTCTGCTTCCATAAATATGGATATGCTGATGGCTTTGAGCGCAGTACGAATTGACCTCCAGGCCTCCTTCGGTCTGCTCTTCCTTGACCTTGCTAGCATGGTTGAACCATAAGGAAGTGGCTTCCAGTCAGGATAGCCAGCAGGATCGTTGCAGCTTTAGGCGAGGCATTCTTTTGTAATTCGATGTTTCCGATGCGATAAATGAACAGGCATCACATGTGTGCCTCAATGAGTGAATAAGTCTGGAACGACGTGTGCACTTTCAGTCCGCGGTGGGGTGCTCCTCGAAAGACTTGGAGCATCTGATACAATCAGTTATGCGGTTTTCCCCTCAAACATAAACATCTCACGGAGCCTACAAAACTGAGTTTTATTTAGAGCGACTTTACGAAAGGAACGTATTTCACAGTACCAACTGAATTTACTATCTTCCAAGAGGAATACGCCTGCATTTAAACCTATGCCCATTCAAAGTCACAAAAATAAATTAATTGACCGTTTTTGGAATATATTTGTGAGCTTCAATGAAAGACGATCGGAAACTTCATCAATCTGGTGAATATGCGCGGGGTCCAGAATTTTTCTGCCTATGAAACACGGTATTTTTGTCGCGAAAGGGTTTGTCAAAACATGTCTTCTTGTAATCAGAATGAAGCGAAAGAGCAAGATATTCCGTGTAACAATTCAGTTAAAAATGATTCAGTCAGTCTGTCACCTAGGTTTTGATACAAGTGTACAAATCACCACGTGAACAAGATTGAACACTAGTCGTCAGTGTTGCATTTCGAGTAGAAAAGGTCAGCATAATCGGGCAGCTCTCCCTTGCGTTTTGTTTGACCCACTGGGTGTATCAAAACCTGTCTCTCTGGGGAGGCCAAACTCGTTTCCTGTCAATCAGAAAAGAGGCATGCAAGTTAATGGAGATTATGGTCAGCGGCTTCAAAATCTGTCAACAGCACTTAATGTTTGTCGGAGTTCTTTATTAAGTCATATTTTGAGATGAAACCTAGGTGTTGAACGTTCTGCCCTAATCAGCCTATGGGCCACAGATGAGTAAGTGTTGATGTCGTCACATTCGGACTGCTGGGATCAGTGAATATGAAGATCCTACGGAGCAACGGTTTCGCAAAATGCGTCATGTGATACGTGAAAATAAGCTGTTTACTGTTTACAATCAATTGGAAAAAGTTTGGAACCGATTGAGAAGTCATCATTTCAGAAGAGCTTGGTAAACAATCGGTAGTTTTTATTTGGGCAACGTTTCGCTTTTGACACAAAAGCTTCATCAGGCCAAGTGAACAGGTCACAAAATTGGCCAGGTTATAAGACAGACGGGGAACCAATCAGTAAGTTCTCTTCAGACTAAATCAGTGTTGAGTGTCAATTAACGGCTCTTGTCGGCTAGTGTGGGTGCCAAAATCTTGAATCGATGTGTTGGAGGGTTCCAAATTAGTTCCGATCGCTTTCCGTTCCTTAATCTTCCACTTCAGAATGCTTCACCTGATGATTCGCCTCGGGTGCCGCTGTTAGATTTTCCTTAGTCTTTGTGGGGTTGTGAGTGTTCCGACAATTTAGTTTGAGGGGGGTTGAGGTCAAGTGGAATCCAGTGGAATCAAGTGTAATGACTGCATCAAAGTCTATATAGGACAGACGGCCAGGGAACTATACATCAGAGTCGGAGAGCATAGTAGAAAAATAAACAGGCCGCCGAGAAACGCAGATGAATATCAAGCGTTACTGAAAGACTCGGCGATTGCGGAACACGCACTAGACACAGGACACAAAATAGATTTAGAAAATGTTGAGGTTTTGAGGCGAGGACTACGGTCCACGTCACACAGACTGATCGCCGAGGCGGTAGAAATCGCCAAGCATCCCAGCGTCAACAGAATGAAAGGCGTAGAACTGGCTAGCGTGTGGAGAACGGTCTTGGGTCACTCGAGCTGACACGTGTTGGTGTGCGGTCATCAGTAGGAAGAGTAGTCATCACTTGGATTCCACTTGACCTCAACCCCCCTCAAACTAAATTGTCGGAACACTCACAACCCCACAAAGACTAAGGAAAATCTAACAGCGGCACCCGAGGCAAATCATCAGGTGAAGCACTCTGAAGTGGAAGATTAAGGAACGGAAAGCGATC